TACAATGAAAAAGGTCGAAAATATGCTCCTTTTGTTCTTTTGTTCTAGTGGATATCTAACGAAGGTGATCGACATGTAACTATTCTAAATCAGTTTTACATTCGATGTTAGGACACCGGATATAGCATAACCAAATATCAGATACAACAATATACCATAGGATTGGGAGTCGTTCGATACAGAAAAGACATTTTAGATAGATTGTTGACTTTGATTCTTCAATGACGAACACAATACATTTGGTTTAATGATCAATCAGGTTAAAGAGTTGTAGAACCCGAGCAAAGTTAAAATATAATCTTATTTTTTTATTACAAGTTTAAGGCATTTCAAATGTTCTTAAAAGCACCACCAACCTTTTTGATATACATGTGTGCTATCGGTACAACCCTTTACCGGGAAATATTACAAAGATATCGACGTTGACGTTGACCTTATCCGATAATTTCGGGTTTCCAGCAAGATGTGCCTTCACAATGCAACACCGCTGATTTTCGCCTAAGATCAAATACGTGTAGAATGTACTCTTTGGACAACGCTCAACATCAGTGAGGAACCTATGTAAACATCACCGACTCCTAGTTGTTTAAATTGCCGTTCTTGGTCGTTCGTCAATATAACGAAAACTAAATTAGTGACAGAAAAGTTAAACTAGCTGTTTGTAGTGTCTGTGTATAGGAGGAACTATCTTTTGTAGACGTCGACAAATGTCAAAGGTCGGACCAATCACAATAGACCTTACTTAACCCCGATCTATGTCTTCCTCAACGGTACGTGACAGACCAATGAGAATAGACGTGACGGCACCGGAGTTAATCTAGATATACTTCTCTGATGGTAATGTTTACTTTCCCGACTTAAGTAAATATGTAATGTAATAAGCGAACTTTGACAGACACGTTCCTGATCTTACTGTCTATCTTCATGTGTAAGCAATATTTTCCTTACCACAATGATAAACAACGCTATTTTTACCGACAACGCACACGGACATATTGACATAGTGTAGAAAACTTCATTTTTGTGGTTTTTCATTGTTTTACCTAAATGAACAAATTTGCGGGATTCATTTTACCATATATTAAAACAAATTGTGCATCTTACACGAAAATACATAAATTTCTGTTAATTTTCGCTGGATTTATTTTTTGTCATTGTCAAAAATATTGCAAAAAAAAAAAAAGAACAAAAAAAGATTCATGTGAAATAAGTCATTAACAGGGACAAACGGGCGACTCTTAATCTGGACAAACGAGAGCTGGTAGTAAGAATCTATCAATATTATGTTCAGATCATGCTGACCACGTTCAGATGGTTTTTTTTGTAATGGAGTCTATGGGTGACTTGTGTAGAAAACTAATCTCGATAATCTTTCTTCAATTACAAATATTTATCTTTCATTAATTTTCGTTGTCATAAAAACAGCATGAAGCATTCTTTATGAACGGATTTTAATATCAGAGGTTTTTTTTCTAATTATCATCCATCTTTATGGCTTTCTATCATAAAACCCTCTCAGACAACGCCATTAAATACATTAACAAAAAGAACAGCCGACTTTCTGATTCATGTTGCTTCCCGCAGGAAGGTCAGCCCTGACCATTTTATGGTTTTCCCGCCAATTTCTTCCATATAATTTGGAGTCGATAAGATAGATTGGGTCTCTTATCGGAAACTACTTCACGGCTTGATACATGTGTTGGTCATCGCGTGTCACAACCCTTAGTTCCTACTGGCCGAAATGTCCACCGGCCAGGGGTTGCTGGCCAGAGGATAGGAATTCCACGGTCAACCTGATCATGAACAATACAACCCAGTGAGGTCATATTTGATTTCTCCGTATCGTGGTTTACATATGATAATAATTATCCCATGACATATCGCATTGTCTGCAACATCTGTTACGAAATGATTCTTCGAAGCTTCTAGCTACCATAATAGGGACCTGGGGCGTAAATGGGTCATTTTCATCCTCAAAAAAAAAAAAACCACAAAAAAACAAACTTTAATTTATTTACCATTTTTTTTAGATAATCATCATATTGCTGTCTTTCCTAGAGCAGACTTTTTTTTTTAACGCGCATCCGTAGAAGCCGCACCTGGCAAAAACAATGCAGAAAAAGCCAAAACATGATGTTTTGGGACAGTTAGTATGCAGAAATGAAAGCCTCCGCTTGTGACAACAAACAAATCCTTTCTACGAATGAACACTTGTATGACAATGTTTAAGGATGCCAAATACATATTTAGTTGTTGCATGCGGGTCTTTCAAAAATTGAACACTGTTTAGTTAATTTGCGTCAAAATGGCCATTTTCAACGTCACACTAGACGATATTCACGCAATTTCTTATAAAAATATGCGTTTTATTACCACTCTTTGTCATGCATTATCTCCTAAACCAGTTGTCGAATGAATCAAAAATACTTCCTTTATCTAATATTACGAATACAACAACTAAATGACTGAAGAGGCCGGAATTTCTTTCAGATAGTTGCTTTACGACCAAGCTTAAAAAAAGCTTGTGTGTCTTCAATTATCACAAAAAATACGAAGAAATGGAAATGGAACTCTTTAAATACAAACTTTGAAGATGCATAAAAAAACCCCATTTTCCAACACTTTGATGCCATTTCGTCAATATAGAACTTAATGTACCGATTATATTTGAGTAGTATCTTCTTTGTCATTTATCTGTTGTTCAGGGCTGCTGTATCCCAATACGTGTTGAAAGAGGTGACTAATGAGGGGTCCCCTGCAAAAACGGGGTTTTTCCTCCCTATCTTCTGCGCAGGGGGACATTGTGGAAATCACAATTGATCTGCTGCCCCCATTCGTAACATCTGAGATCTTGATATTTTCTCTTTACTTCCTGCAGTTTGTTTTTGATTCCTGGAACCTTTCTTGGCAACACCTCATTCTCGACCTTAGTGTTGAGCGTTCGCCCAGGTGGGGGAAGGCAATGGGTTCTGTCCTCATGCCGGGACAAACCAAAGTCCTTACACATTTTTGTTGTTATTTCGTTCTTAACGTTCCGCATTTATGGTAATGACAACGACTACTTGGCCCGTTGTCAGTATAACATGACCGGGTGTCATACTTTGCTGCGTGTCTTCGGCATATTATTTCAGTGAGGTAGCACTATTAAGCTGGCATCAGATCCGCACTTTTGTCATGCCCTGCCGCCATATCAGATTCGACTGTCAGTCAGTCTACGTAGAACCCTCCGGTTATAAAATGTAAACGTTAAAAACAGGAACAAAAATGTCAATGCAATTAACTGTGTGTGGATGTTATGTTCATATTTCAAGATACAAGGTCGTATAGATTCTCCTGGTAGATGTTTAAGTCCACGAGGTCGTATACACTCTCCTGGTGGATGTTTAAGTCCCCGAGGTAATACAGACTCTCGGGGACTGAAACATCCCCCGGAGAGTCTATACGACCTCTGGGACATAAACATCCACCAGGAGAGTGTATACGACCTCGTGGACTTAAACATCAACCAGGAGAATCTATACGGCCTTGTATCTTGAAATATGAACATAACATCCACGATCTCGGGGACTTAAACACCCACCAGGAGAGTCTATACGCCCTCGGGGACTGAAACATCCACCAAGAGAGTCTGTACGACCTCGGGGACTTAGACATCCACCAGGAGAATATATACGACCTCGAGGACTTAAACATCCACCAGTAGAGTGTATACGACCTCGAGGACTTAAACATCCACCAAGAGAGTCTATACGACCTCGGGGATATTTAAGTCCCCGAGGTCATACAGACTCTCCTGGTGGACGTTTAAGTCCCCGAGGTCCTATAGACTCTCCTGGTGAATGGTTAAGTCCCCGAGGTCGCATAGATTCTCCTGGTGGGTGTTTAAGTCCCCGAGATCGTGGATGTTATGTTCATATTTCAAGATACAAGGCCGTATAGATTCTCCTGGGGGATGTTTAAGGCCCCGATGTCGTCTAGACTCTCCTGGTGGAGGTTTAAGTCCCCGAGGTAATACAGACTCTCGGGGACTGAAACATCCCCCGGAGAGTCTATACGACCTCTGGGACATAAACATCCACCAGGAGAGTCTGTACGACCTCGGGGACTTTAACATCCACCAGGAGAGTGTATACGACCTCGAGGACTTAAACATCCACCAAAAGAGTATATACGACCTCGGGGACTTTAACATCCACCAGGAGAGTCTATAGGACCTCGGGGACTTAAATATCCCCGAGGTCGTATATACTCGTTTGGTGGATATTTAAGTCCCCGAGGTCGGATAGACTCTCCTGGTGAATGGTTAAGTCCCCGAGGTCGTGTATACTCTTTTGGTGGATATTTAAGTCCCCGAGGTCCTATAGACTCTCCTGGTGGATGTTTATGTCCCAGAGGTCGTATAGACTCTCCTGTTGGATGTTTAAGTCCCCCGAGGTCATACAGACTCTCCTGGGGGAGGTTTAAGTCCCCGAGGTCGAATAGACTCTCCTGTGGATGGTTAAGTCCCCGAGGTCGGATAGACTCTCCTGGTGGATGGTTAAGTCCCCGGGGTCGTATAGACTCTCCTGTGGATGGTTAAGTCCCCGAGGTCGGATAGACTCTCCTGGTGACTGTTTAAGTCCCCGAGGTTGTATAGACTCTCCTGGTGACTGTTTAAGTCCCCGAGATCGTATAAATTCTCCTGGTGGGTGTTAAAGTCCCCGAGGTCGTATAGACCTGGTGGATGTTTAAGTCCCCGAGGTCGTATATACTCTTTTGGTGGATATTTAAGTCCCCGAGGTCGTTTAGACTCTCCAGATGGATGATTAAGTCCCCGAGGTCGAATAGACTCTCCTGTGGATGTTTAAGTCCCCGAGGTCGTATAGATTCTCCTGGTGGATGTTTAAGTCCCCGAGGTCGTATAGACTCTCCTGGTGGATGTTTAAGTCCCAGAGGTCGTATAGACTCTCCTGGTGGATGTTTAAATCCCCGAGGTCGTATAGATTTTCCTGGTGGATGTTTCAGTCCCCGAGGTCGTATAGACTCTCCTGGTGAATGTTTAAGTCCCCGAGGTCATACAGACTCTCCTGGTGGATGCTTATGTCCCCGAGGTCGTATATACTCTTCTGGTGGATGTTTAAGTCCCCGAGGTCGTATAGACTCTCCAGATGGATGTTTAAGTCCCCGAGGTCGAATAGACTCTCTTGTGGATGTTTAAGTCCCCGAGGTCGTATATAATCTCCTGGTGGATGTTTAAGTCCCCGAGATCGTATAAATTCTCCTGGTGGATGTTTAAGTCCCCGAGGTCGTATAGATTCTCCTGGGGGATGTTTAAGTCCCCGAGATCGTATATAATCTCCTGGTGGATGTTTAAGTCCCCGAGATCGTATATATTCTCCTGGTGGATGTTTAAGTCCCCGAGATCGTATAGATTCTCCCGGTGGATGTTTAAGTCCCCGAGATCGTATAAATTCTCCTGGGGGATGTTTAAGTCCCCGAGATCGTATAGATTCTCCTGGTGGATGTTTAAGTCCCCGAGATCGTATATAATCTCCTGGTGGATGTTTAAGTCCCCGAGATCGTATAAATTCTCCTGGTTGATGTTTAAGTCCCCGAGGTCGTATAGATTCTCCTAGTGAATGTTAAGTCCCCCAGGTCATCTAGACTCTCCTGGTGGATGTTTAAATCCCCGAGGTCGTATAGGTTCTCCTGGTTGATGTTTAAGTCCCCGAGATCGTATAAATTCTCCTGGTAGATGTTTAAGTCCCCGAGATCGTATAAATTCTCCTGGTAGATGTTTAAGTCCCCGAGATCGTATAAATTCTCCTGGTAGATGTTTAAGTCCCCGAGATCGTATAAATTCTCCTGGTTGATGTTTAAGTCCCCGAGGTCGTATAGATTCTCCTGGGGGATGTTTAAGTCCCCGAGGTCGTAAGTCCGCTTTTGGTGGATATTTAAGTCCCCGAGGTCGTATAGACCCTCCTGGTGATGTTTCAGTCCCCGAGGTCGTATAGATTCTCCTGGCGCATGTTAAAGTCCCCGAGGTCGTATAGACTCTTCTGGTGGATGTTTAAGTCCCCGATGCCGTATAGACTCTCCAGGTGGATGTTTAAGGCCCCGAGGTCGTATACACTCTCCTGTGGGTGTTTAAGTCCCTGAGGTCGTATAGATTATCCTGGTGGATGTTTAAGTCCCTGAGTTCGTATAGATTATCCTGGTGGATGTTTAAGTCCCTGAGTTCGTATAGATTATCCTGGTGGATGTTTAAGTCCCTGAGTTCGTATAGATTATCCTGGTGGATGTTTAAGTCCCCGAAATCGTATAAATTCTCCTGGTGGATGTTTCAGTCCCCGAGGTCGTATAGATTCTCCTGGCGCATGTTAAAGTCCCCGAGGTCGTATAGACTTCTCCTGGTGAATGTTTAAGTCCCCGAGGTCATACAGGCTCTCCTGGTGGATTTTTAAGTCCCCGAGGTCGTATATACTCTTCTGGGGGATGTTTATGGATGATTAAGTCCCCGAGGTCGAATAGACTCTCTTGTGGATGTTTAAGTCCCCGAGGTCATATAGACTCTCCTGGTGCATGTTTAAGTCCCCGAGGTCATATAGACTCTCCTGGTGAATGTTTAAGTCACCGAGGTCGTACAGACTCTCCTGGTGGCTCTTTAAGTCCCCGAGGTCGTATAGACTCTTCTGGTGGATGTTTAAGTCCCCGAGGGCATATAGACTCTCCTGGTGAATGTTTAAGTCCCCGAGGTCGGACAGACTCTCCTGGTGGATCTTTAAGCCCCCGAGGTCGTATAGACTCTCCTGGTGAATGTTTAAGTCCCCGAGGTCATACAGGCTCTCCTGGTGGATTTTTAAGTCCCCGAGGTCGTATATACTCTTCTGGTGGATGTTTAAGTCCCTGAGTTCGTATGGACTCTCCTGGTGGATGTTTAAGTCTCCGGGGTCGTATAGATTTTCCTGGTGGATGTTTAAGTCCCCGACGTCGGATAGACTCTCTTGGTGGATGTTTAAGTTCCCGAGGTCGTATAGACTCTCCTGGTGAATGTTTAAGTCCCCGAGGTCGTGCAGACTCTCCTGGTGGATCTTTAAGTCCCCGAGGTCGTATAGACTCTCCTGATGGATGTTTAAGTCCCCGAGGTCGTCTAGGCTCGCCTTGTGATATTTCAGTCTCCGAGGTCGTATAGACTCTCCTGGTGGACGTATAGATTCTCCTGGTGGATGTTGCAGTCCCCAAGGTCGTATAGATTCTCCTGGGGGATGTTGCAGTCCCCAAGGTCGTATAGACTCTCCTGGTGGACGTATAGATTCTCCTGGTGGATGTTGCAGTCCCCAAGGTCGTATAGATTCTCCTGGGGGATGTTGCAGTCCCCAAGGTCGTATAGATTCTCCTGGTGGATTTTTCAGTCCCCGAGGTCGTATAGACTCTCCTGTTGATGTTTCAGTCCCCGAGGTCGTATAGATTCTCCTGGCGCATGTTAAAGTCCCCGAGGTCGTATAGACTTCTCCTGGTGAATGTTTAAGTCCCCGAGGTCATACAGGCTCTCCTGGTGGATTTTTAAGTCCCCGAGGTCGTATATACTCTTCTGGTGGATGTTTATGGATGATTAAGTCCCCGAGGTCGAATAGACTCTCTTGTGGATGTTTAAGTCCCCGAGGTCATATAGACTCTCCTGGTGCATGTTTAAGTCCCCGAGGTCATATAGACTCTCCTGGTGAATGTTTAAGTCACCGAGGTCGTACAGACTCTCCTGGTGGATATTTAAGTCCCCGAGGTCGTATAGACTCTTCTGGTGGATGTTTAAGTCCCTGAGTTCGTATAGATTATCCTGGTGGATGTTTAAGTCCCTGAGTTCGTATAGATTATCCTGGTGGATGTTTAAGTCCCCGATGTCTTCTAGACTCTCCTGGTGGATGTTTAAATCCCCGAGGTCGTATAGGTTCTCCTGGTTGATGTTTAAGTCCCCGAGGTCGTATACACTCTCCTGTGGATGTTTAAGTCCCTGAGTTCGTATGGACTCTCCTGGTGGATGTTTAAGTCTCCGGGGTCGTATAGATTTTCCTGGTGGATGTTTAAGTCCCCGAGGTCGTATAGATTTTCCTGGTGGATGTTTAAGTCCCCGAGGTCATATAGACTCTCCTGGTGAATGTTTAAGTCCCCGAGGTCATACAGACTCTCCTGGTGGATGTTTAAGTCCCCGATGCCGTATAGACTCTCCAGGTGGATGTTTAAGGCCCCGAGGTCGTATATACTCTTCTGGTGGATGTTTAAGTCCCCGATGCCGTATAGACTCTCCAGATGGATGTTTAAGTCCCCGAGGTCGTATACACTCTCCTGTGGATGTTTAAGTCTTCGAGGTCGTATAGATTCTCCTGGTGGATTTTTCAGTCCCCGAGGTCGTATAGACTCACCTGGTGGATGTTTAAGTCCCAGAGGTCGTATAGACTCTCCTGGTGGATGTTTAAGTCCCCGAGGTCGTATAGATTCTCCTGGTGGATGTTTCAGTCCCCGAGGTCGTATAGACTCACCTGGTGGATGTTTAAGTCCCAGAGGTTGTATAGACTCTCCTGGTGGATGTTTAAGTCCCCGAGGTCGTATAGATTCTCCTGGTGGATGTTTAAGTCCCGGAGGTCGTATAGACTCTCTTGGTGGATGTTTAAGTCCCCGAGGTCGTAAAGATTCTCCTGGTGGATGTTTAAGTCCCCGAGGTCGTATAGACTCTCCTGGTGGGTGTTTAAGTCCCGGAGGTCGTATAGCCTCTCTTGGTGGATGTTTATGTCCCCGAGGTCGTAAAGATTCTCCTGGTGGTGGATGTTTAAGTCCCAGAGGTTGTATAGACTCTCATGGTGGATGTTTAAGTCCCGGAGGTCGTATAGCCTCTCCTGGTGATGTTTTAGTCCCCGAGGGCGTATAGACTCTCCTGGTGCATGTTAAAGTCCCCGAGGTCGTAAAGACTCTCCTGGTGGATCTTTAAGTCCCCGAGGTCATATAGACTCTCCTGGTGGGTGTTTAAGTCCCGGGGGTCGTATAGACTCTCTTGGTTGATGTTTAAGTCCCCGATGTCTTCTAGACTCTCCTGGGGGATGTTAAAGTCCCCGAGGTTGTATAGACTCTCATGGTGGATGTTTAAGTCCCCTAGACTCTCCTGGTGGATCTTTAAGTCCCCGAGGTCGTAAAGACTCTCCTGGTGGATCTTTAAGTCCCCGAGGTCGTAAAGATTCTCCTGGCGGTGGATGTTTAAGCCCCGGAGGTCGTATAGACTCCCCTGGTGGATGTTTAAGCCCCCGATGTCTTCTAGACTCTCCTGGTGGCTGTTTAAGTCCCCGAGGTCATATAGACTCTCCTGGTGGTGTTTCAGGCCCCGAGGTCGTATAGACTCTCCTGGTGGATGTTTAAGTCCCCGATGTTTGTCGTAACCTTGATAGTCACAGTAAACATTGTTGAGTAGTGGCATAGTTTATGATGTTTATACTTTTACTCATTCTGTAATCTGAAATTAATCAACACTTTTTAAACTTTTAATATTCATAAAATAAAAGGTTTGGATGTACTCCCTTCTGTTTCAACAGTAGATGAGACATTTTAATTTCCATCTCGTTGACCCATAGCATCACCAACGAGTCTCAGAAGGACGAAACAGCTGTGAAATGGAATATTCTTGACCATAGTCTTAGAGAAGATTATTACCCAGCGTTTAGAGGTCTATCTCCGTGTTAAGAGTCTTTATAACAACTTACAATCAGTCTATTGCATGTGACACTGATGAAACTCCACCCAAGTCGCTGCACTTTTCCGTGGTGGTGGGATTGAGTACCTCAATGACCTGGATAGCTATGCTGGTTGGGGCTTTCTGCTCCTGGTAGGGTCATCCAAGCCAGACAGGCTGGAAGGTAGTTGTCAGACCAAGCAGCAACGTCCTTTGGCCGGGACGCAAATGCTAGGTTTGCACCGTTGTGCATTTATTCCTTGGCGATTGGTATACAGGTGTCCGCCTTCGGGACAGCCTTTTGTGCATTCCTCTGGAATTTTCGGGGCTGTGGTAAATCATCAGAGTCCCATGTTTATAGTGTAGATTTTGTATTGTCCTTTTTTATTTTTTATTTTCTTTCTCTTTGTTCATTCTCCTTTTTCACACCTTTAAACGTTAATTTAGCATTTGTTTTTGTCGACCGTTTGTTGGCCCTAATGACCTATCTTGTGATTATGGGCCGTTAAGCATTTGATAATGATAATAATAAAACTGATGAAACTGTCCTTCTACGTGTCCTTCATGACATCACTGCTGCCTTTGATAACAAATGTAAAGTGGTACTTGTCATGCTGGAATCGTCTGCAATACTACTTTTAAGGGGTGCCCTATAATGTTCTTTTCATGGTTTAACCCTATAAGAGTTAACGGAAACAATGTCTTGTCATTGGAACTTCTAACTCAGATATAGAAATAGGAATAGATGTCTGAGTTTCTTAGTTTTCGGTTTTTAAACCAATTTGGATTTCCACCATTTTAGTCCCTAGCATCACTGAGGAATCCTAGAAGGACCACGCAGCTGTATGGTGTAACGTCACGCTACCACAAATGGTACAATTTTGACAGTTTTTTAGTGCTCTTTAAAACTTCAAATCTTGTATCTGGAATGTTTCTTGATTCTTGACAAAGACTAACTATGGTGGTTCATTTCCAGGAAAAGTTTTATATCTAAGTAATTTGTTTTTGAAAACAAAACGCTAAACTCGGAGTGAGATTTCGTCCGTTTGTCGGCCGTAATTAGTACCCGAATTGGTACACCATATCACAGGCTATGGAATTATTTTTATTTCTACAAGTTGATGTGCCGATTACAACAAAATATAATGCTTTTATAGATACCATACTGAGCTACAATTGTATAAATACACTTTTATATTATCCGGTTATAAGGACCAGAAATCAACATTTAAACATGCTTATATTTAACCCCTTCAAAATCCTCCAAAACTTTGTCGACCCACGTCGTTTTTACTTGTTTTCTGATATGTTTACTTTGTAGTCATTGTGTACTCTTAAAATGTTCCTGAAAACAAAACTATTCGGCAGAAATGCTGATAAATATCTCTTTTGTTATGCTGTCTAAGGAAAATGCTCAAATTTAATTTTAAAGTACTATTCGAACAATTTTCTGACCGTGTATCAATGAGGGTAGTTTACCAATTGTGGTAGCGTGACGTTAGGGAAATTATTTTTTTGCAAACTTCATCTATTACAAAATTAAATTGTTGCAATACGGTGTATGTCCTACGCTCGTACTTAGAACCACGATAATTTTACTTTTATTCAAAGCCACCGGGGGTCGCTTTGGCTGAATAGTTAAGGCGTCTGACCGTCTACGATCACTTGCCCTTCACCACCTGGTCGCGGGTTCGGGCCCACGTGCGGCAGTCGCCAGATACTAGTTGTAGTTCGGTGTTTTGTTTGTTCGGGCACCAAGGTTTTTCTCCATCACCAAAACCTGGCACGTAAAGCACAAGAAAACCAAACCAATTAAGAGAGTTCTCTTCATCGTGACTTCTGCAATCACTGTTACTGTGACGACACACATATATACATTGTTATAAAACCAGACAATAGCTGAGGTATCGTATTAGTAATTAAGAAAGGTTGTCTGTCAGACATAAGACAAGGATGAAAGGCAGCTAGTTCAAGCTTAATCAGAAAGAGAGAGAACTGATTGTCTTTTCTCTCATGCAAACATCACTGGTTGCAAGTACAATACTGGCCTCATCACAACTAAGATCGGTGCTGTTTTGAGAGAGCACCCTTGTTATACAATCCTTAACATCGTACTGAAACCTATCAAAACTTGGTTTTTGGACAGGCAGCAGCCACCTGGACGAATAGTGTAACATCGGCTAACAGAAAGTCGAAAACAAATACCAAGTTAACGAATGATTCAAACATAACTTGTTAAAGTTTACATTTTAGAAATTTATGCCGACGTTTTAATAAAGGTTTTGTACGTCAATAACAATGATGCTGATAGGACGGAAAATCACTAAGTTTGATAAACAGTCTTGTTAATACTGTGTCTCTAACAAGAAAGCAAATTGCAAACGAATTTTATCCCGTAGCATGTATAACCTTGAGCAAAAGAAGGGCGATTATTATTCACGTAAATCAAGCGCATTTTTTAAATTTATTTTTTAATAATAAGGACGCAAGAGGTGTTGTTTATAATCATTGTCTTCTGTGATACTTTTTGTATTCTGTGTCAACGGGAAGCTTGCACTGGTCAGTCATAACAACGTTATGCAAATCAACCGGAACCAATCATACTGTGTCCTGTCTGTCCAGGTTCATTGTGGTCAGATAATGAATTTACGTCTAAGTTCTGGTCAGGGAATTCGTTTGTTCCTAAATCCCAGGTTTTTCTCCGTCACTAAAACCTGGCACGTAAAGTACAAAGTAAACCAAACCAATTAAGACCGATTGGGGAGAGTTCTCATCATCGTGACCTCTGCAATCACTGTTACTATGACGACACACATATATACATTGTTATAAAACCAGACAACAGCTGAGGTATCGTATTAGAAATTAAGAAAGGTTGTCTGTCAGACATCAGACAAGGGTGAAGGGCAGCTAGTTTAAGCTTAATCAGAAAAGAGAGAGAACTGATTGTCTTTTCTCTCAAGCAAACATCACTGGTTACCAGTACAATACTGGCCTCATCACAACTAAGATCGGTGCTGTTTTGAGAGAGCACTCTTGTTATACAATCCATAACCTTGTACTGAAACCTATCAAAACTTGGTTTTTGGACAGGTAGCAGCCACCTGGACGAATAGTGTAACGTCGGCTAACAGAAAGTCGAAAACAAATACCAAGTTAACGAATGATTCAAACATAACTTGTTAAAGTTTACTTTTTAGGAATTTACGCCGACGTTTTAATAAAGGTTTTATACGTCAATAACAATGATGCTGATAGGACGGAAAATCACTAAGTTTGATAAACAGTCTTGTTAATACTGTGTCTCTAACAAGAAAGCAAATTGCAAACGAATTTTATCCCGTAGCATGTATAACCTTGAGCAAAAGTAGAGCGATTATTATACACGTAAATTAAGCGCATTTATTTTTATTTTTAGTAATTAGGACGCAAGAGGTGTTGTTTATAATCATTGTCTTCTGTGATACTTTTGTATTCTGTGTCAACGGGAAGCTTGCAATGGTCAGTCATAACAACGTTATGCAAATCAACCGGAACCAATCATACTGTGTCCTGTCTGTCCAGGTTCATTGTGGTCAGATAATGAATTTACGTCTAAGTTCTGGTCAGGGAATTAGTTTTGTTCCTAAATCCACCTAAAGAAATCACCACAGATCCCTAGGTAGCAATCTGAACGTGCATCGAGAGCAAGAAGCGAGTCAGGATGTCGTCGTTTTTATCCTTAATCATGTAAAGGAGTACTTCAGGGTAAAGTTGTGGCTAGTGGACAAAAGATACATGTAGCCGACAGATGAATGATAGCTTACATGTAACGACATTATGGAGTATTGTATACTACGTAAGTGGCTGAGGCCGTTTTCTGAATTCTTCAAGGACGAGGATAGAGTAGACGCAGGTAATTTAGAAGGTGATAGCCTCATTCTGTTGTTGGTTGCTTAAGGCACCGCATTATAATTCATTGATCTGTGTTTGCGTCTTCGTGAGCAGATTTGTGAATGAACGTAAATAAGGACGCTGACTTGTGTGCTCTATACAGGAGTACATATTCGATGAGTAAGTGTTGTATATCTGACAAGCAGACTTAAACCCAATTGTTAGATTCATTTGTTTTAGTTTTTTGTCTCCTGAAATTTTGTTTTTTTAATTTTTGTTCGTTTGTATTTGCTATTGCTATTTCGAGGTCAATACATATGTAACAAGTCATTACATGAGGACGAAGAATACAAAGATAGTTTAATTAATCTATACATTTGAAACGTGGGAAAGAGAATATCAAATTCCTTTTTACGACCGCAGCTTATTGATTTCAGTATTGGTGTACAGTAGTTTGTAGTTCTCGGAAATAGTTTCATTCGAAAGTAGGCCGGCCTTCAATGATAGTCGTAGATTCTTTGCAGTCAAATATAACTCGACTATAAGCCGGTTTTGAAAATAGATCGGTTCTGAAAAAATGCTTTGGATACAGGTTTTAGCCACATTTTCCTTCTAGGTCTGAATAGGTTGATAATGCTTATTGTTATTTTGGTATTCCAGGAAGACCCATTTTTTTAAAGCTGGCTGAAGTTATCAGCGGGTTAGTTATTATATTGGGAGTGGATTAGTCGAATCTCCAGCGATTTAGTTTTTCGAATAATGAACCCCCATATAATCAACCCTAAATGCTAAATTCAACCCACTCTTCTGAAAGCTCGAATCTCAGGTAAGTGTTCCCTGTACGATATCTGGACGATAGGTATGAGTTAATCACA